AAGCCAGCCAGTGGGTTTAGAGTGCCTTGGTGAGAATTGTACATCTTACAGTTTGAATGCAGTTTTCTTTTCCTCTTCTAAATGTGAGTTATCTTACTCTTTCTGAAAATTAAACGTGTACCATAGTCTCTGTAAATAAGAATATGCACATACGCACGCACTATGAAAAAGGTGACATTGAAAATTTATCTATCAATTGCCCAGTATTAAGGTGCTCTCATGTGCATACCTAAGAAAGGTAAGGAATATTGTTCTCTCTTGGTCAGTTTTGTTACTTAGCAAACTTGTTCCTTGTCATTGCTCCAGCAGTGAGAGCTTAGAAAACGGAAGGATGCCAGGTTTAATAGAGGAAACAAAAAGAAATTCCTGTTGACATCCAAATCTTGTATCAAATTTGCTTGGAATAAAATTGTTAAGTCTATTTTTCTTCTCTAAATATTGGGAATTTATTTTAGATATAATCCTTTTTTACACTCAAAACGGAACAGAAGTGTATAGTTGTACTATTCTGCCCGTGTTCATGTTTCTGAATTAAATACACTATTCTTCAGATTTCTTTTCTGAGGCTTCAGATACTTTCATTCTAATCTAGAATTAATCTTTTTGGAATATTAAGCCTGATCTTGAGTTGTGAGTGATTTACTGACATGCCACTACTGAGTTCAAAGTACCACACAGATGTCAGCTAAATGAGTGAGACCTGGAGACTTTTCCTTTTTGACTTTTCCAAGTTCCAAAAACAAGAAGAAAAAAGTGGGAAAAAGCAATTTATTAATATGTTCTCATCTCCTGCCTTGCTAAATTTTGACAGAATGGGACCTCAGCAGTTGCCACACTTGGTCTTTTCCAAGAAATAAGGCTTTACTGATTTGAATGAACTGATCTGTCTTTGGACAGATAAACACATATTTCAAAGGGAGGTGCCTTTGAAGACATGCAATTCTGAAAGAAATGTTTACTGGAATGTTTATTCTCTGATTATATTCAGAAGAAAGAAAACATTTTTGTTTAGCCTTGCAAAAATCTCAAAACATTTAACGGGCAGCAAGATCTGGTGAAAAGTCCCCTGAGGTGGTGATGAAGACGTCAGTATAGGTGCGGTTTGATCCATATCCATGTGAAAAAACATGAGCACCTGCAATGAGCACCTGCAAATATCATGTGCTCTCCACATGACTGCCACCTGCTACACTGTTTGCACTAGTGACTAGCCAGCATTAGAAGTATTCCACAGTGTACCAAAATATGCAGAAGAGGATCCTTGGCACTCTGAACTGTCCAAACTGGAGCAGTACCGCTTTCTGTGATGGTAGCCAAGCTGAAGGACAGTGAAATCATAGGTCTGAGATGGTGCTAACTTGTCTGGATGCTGTAGTCTGCAGATGTGCATCAGTAATGTTAGGTTTAATAACATCTTCATAGGTTAAATAGAACACTTTGGCAAGGAAGTTTCTGCACAGAAGTGAAAGCTTTTTTGTCAATCTTTTCTGCTCAGTAATTTTGCTACTGCAAAATATATGGCATTCATTATGGCAGTAAATAATGTGAAAACTGATGTGTTACTAGGGAGAGAATTAATGATATGATCCTGTCTGGCTTGATATAAAGTCAAAACATACACACACAGTAATAAGAGGCATATTAATCCACAGAAATGCCGGAGTTTATATTTACACAGCAAAGTCCTTACATTTGTATCAAGGAAGATTGCATTGCATTATTAAATGCAAATTGTGCCCTGTGAGCATCCTTGGTGCTGGTTTTGTCTCTACACGTACATATTGTAAATAATATTATAGACTTCATCTGATGTACTTTAGACTACATCAGATTTCATTCTGATCCAAAATAACGAGCTCATAAATTGTTCTTTATTTAGAATAATTCTCAGGAGGCACCAGATGCAGTTCATCTTAGTGAAACAATGCCACTGTAAGAATTAACATCCATGGAGTGTTAGAGAGTCAAAGCATTTGAGTCCTTCCATCACCTTTTCAAGTTGAAGTTGGGATGGTTTATCCAAGATGTAAGTCTTTCAAGAGGCTTAAGGTGTGCTACTGCTTTTAGCCTCAGATAGGCAGCTAAGGGAGTCTCCAAGGTATTCAAAGCTAAGGAACTGGATATAAAACCAGATATCTGTGTAGCTGGTAGGCAAAATGCAGGAATGCAGTATGCTAATCAGTGGCAAGTAAACCGTATTATCTTCTCACTTATCTCACACAGGTTCAGCTGAGCAATGAATTGAACTTTTGTCATCCTACATGTGAGACTATATGCAGTAATGCAGATCCTTAGATCACACTGGAGACCAAAGATTTGTTCTGTCTTTTTTTTGTTTTCCTTATATTCCTTTATCTAATGTGTAGAGAGAGATGAGGTAAGCACAGAATTTATGCTGGAGATAGTAGAGATGATTTTGTTGAGCAAAATAAAAATAAATCACAACTATTTACTAAATATGCCCCTTTTACAGTCAGAACAAACTTCATATTGCTGGCATTTGTTTTGCAGGTCTTTTGACATTGCAAACCTAATCACAACCTATTCTGCTGCTTAAAAATATGGGACCCTGGCAACACCGCTTCCTCTTTCCAATCACAGGGCAGCAACGCAACTGCAGGGTACTGCATTTGGATTTGTCAGAATAAATAATGAAGAGGCTCATCAGCTTCTCACTAATGAACAAGGAAATGTGATTAAGCAACTTTAAAAGAGAATGGCTGAAAACAATATAGATGTGATAGCAGGATGATTGCTGTGAATGAGAGACTGAAATTTCTGAATAAGAGGTTTCTTCAACAAGAAGCGATGACAGTAGTTTAATCTTCCATTAAAAGATTCCTGCCAATTTGGAAAAGCTCTGAATCAGGAGATTACAGACATCTCAGAAGCTGACAAGGCAGTCACTTCTCTTAAGACAGCTACTTTCTGGCAATTGCTAGAAAATAGCCTTTCTTTTTTTTTTTTTTTCCCAACACTCTTAACTTCTGTTAAACAATGATGAGGACATTTCTTATTTCGGCAATTCTTTTCGTCTCAAAGATGATGAAAATAGAAATTGTCTTTTGGACCAAAGTGTTCTAGACATGCTTGCCAAGTTTATTGTGGCTAACATCTAGAAATTGTACTGATTAGCTTCTGGCAATGCTCCTCGAAAGTGCTTCATGAGTTAGAATCTCATTAAATATTTTATTCCTCTTCATTATTCTTCAGCACTAGAAGTGTACACTTCTTCCTCGTATCTAATCTGTTCTTGTGCTTTTACTCTCTGCTGTCTGTACTTACCTGAAGGAGAAAGCACACAATACAGAAATGTCAAGAAGAGTGAACTAACAAATGGTGCTGTAATTTTTCTGTATCTCAACAGAAAGATACCTTATTCTTTCCTTCTTATACATCCAAATATATGACTTTTACACATAAATGTATCAAAGTCAATAAGCAGATTACAGGATTTTTGTTCAAGGTAAATTATATAAAACAGTAGAAGTTTCCAGATATTCAAATATAAAAATGATTTTCAGGTATAAACATGATATGCATGTAAGTGTGAGTTTCACAGATATGTGGTTTAAAACAGAAATTAAAAGAAAATGTCAAGCATCATTTAATGTATCAAAAATATTCACGTACCTCAACTATGATGCTCATCATTACAGAAAATTCTCTGGGTCTAAAACCAGGGCAGAAAAATCCTATTATGCTTCATAAGGCTTTTGAAGAAAAAATATGTATTTTTTTCCATGTGATGTAGGTCCATCATGCTGCAACAAATAAGGTGAGAAATTGAAAGGTCTTTGGGTTTTCAGCTGAAACTTCAGCTGTCTTCAGTAGCAAGTTGATTGGATTTAACATTAGGATACAGAAATCTGCCTGTGTTGCTTGAAATAGTTTGAGATCATATTGTTACCATCTAATTATCTAGATGCAAATTCACTGATTTCAGTTATTATTTTGAAAATTACTCACGCTTTTCTTGTTGTGTGGATAAATTACTGTTAAATAAATCATATTGTTACACCTCTACTTACAAGATCTTTACTTTCCTACCCAGTAGCTGCTCTCTTGTCAGTGGTTTATTCTGGCTAATGCAACAACCTGCCTCGTCCTTTCTGATTAGATGTATTCTCCTGAAATGACTTGTTTTGTATCTGAAGCTTACGTTTTAGCTTTCTGCAGTGAATTAAAATATTCCAGAGACCGTATATGATCATGGTACGTCATTGCATGGCATATCTGAGAACAAGATGTCATTTTGATTGGGACATCTAACAGAGATGCAACTCTCTCAAAAAGCAGAGATGTAGCAGAGGTCTCCATCTGCTAGGAAATATGTGCAGTTCTCTTTTCCAAACTGCTCTATGTAGAAAAAATAAAGAAGCAAAGAATGACAGTATATTCCTTCTTTATGCTTTTTCATTTCTGCAAAATTTCTCTAGAGCAAATACGTAGAATGGGTGCTGTCAGTAAAGTGTTCACAACATCCTTTTTCTTGTTTAAAAAAAAAAAAAAAAAAGGGACAGGCTTAGAAGAATACTTTTTTCAATATTCAGTTAATTGCTTGTGGACTGAGACTTGTATTTTATCATTTTTTTTAGAATATTATTTTTATCTGAGATGTAACAGTTTACTTTCTGTGCTGTGTAAGGGTTGATACCCCGTTCCTACGATCTGCAGAGGGAAACCTGAAGCAAAGCCTGCTTTTCAAATTAATTGTGCCAGAAGGTTTTAGTGCTGTGTATATGCCGGAACTATATGCTGGTGTTGTTATGCATGTGATTCCATTTCAGTGTAACTTTAGATTTCTACAGCAGATCAATTGTAGGTAAGCAGTGCAACAGGAGTTTTTGTAGGAGGAGATAAATATTTTCAAACTGTACATAATTTAAAAGAATCCAAGCATACTGGTTTTGTGCTAGTTGCCTACCATTTACTCTGTTTGAAAAATATTTTCATAAAAATAAGGTATCTGATATGTACACACACTTTTCTTTTTGCAGGTGGAATGGAGAAAATAAAACAGCATACGTTTGCGTTAGCTCACTACACCTATACTGTGCTGTCTACCCTAAAATATGCCAACGGGGCACCTGTAGTACGTCTTTACAATGACACAGATTTCAGCAATCCAGATGTCCAAGGTCCAATCATTAATTTCAATGTGCTCGATGAAAGTGGAGAAGTGATCGGCTTTTCACAGGTATGTTCCTCTTTTCCCTTAACAGGATGTTCAGTCTGTATCTTAAACGTATTTGCAATGAGTTATTTATCCTAAAGAAAATATTTTATCTGTCATTGTCTCCTCTGAGGTTTCGGTTTCCTTTCTTCATAGCTCTCCGTAATACATGCACACCTTTTTTGAAGCAACGGAAAGAGAATCTCATAAGTAATGCTAGCACAATGCAAAGTGCATGATAACAAAGGACATATCTCTGTGATTTAATACTCTACACATAAGAAGTTTGAAAGTTGTCAGTTTTACCAGGATGTAAACAGGCAAGGCAATTTGGTTTCACTTCTCCTTTTGCTTCTAATAATTATGTTATTGTGATATTTCTGAGAAAGCACTGAGTAACCACTAGGGTATTTTTATTTAAAAGTTGAATATTCAACATGAGGACTACACATGATATTCAAGTTCAAAAATTCTTTAAACTCTGTGTTTCTCAGTAACTTTCTCTAGTCTTTATCTAGCAGCTATTCTCAGAATTGATAACAAAATTTTGTGAAACTTTCCCGCTTTTCAGTATTTGTTTATCATGTGAGAAACTGGCCATAATTTTATATGACCTTACAGTAGTGTAGGAAAAGCAGACAGTGGGTAACATAGGGTAACACAGCTCACTTAATCAGCAACAGAAGCCAGAAAAAGCACAATGCTCTAGTTCAGTTAAATTATTCTGTTTGTTGCATGTCTCCTGAATAAGTCCACACATCAAGTTAATGACTTTGATTTTTTCAAAGCTTTCAATAACTGATAGCAGCTCTGCAAGCAGTAGTTGTGTAGTTGGGTTGCTCTTGGAAGGGAACACTGAGAAATGTCTATGAGAATATGTGGGGAGATACATGTATACACAGGTGAAGCAGGTGAAACAGTTACTTGGCAGCATGACAAATAGAGTTGGAGCTTTGTGAACTTTCTAAAGCATTTACCACACTGATGAACATGGAAGTCTTTTCTCTATACGTCTTTTAAAAATTGCTGGGCTATATTGCCAATCCCAAAGATTCGCCAAAGTTCGGTTTCAAGAATTTCACACTTTAGGAATCAGTTAGCCATTTATACAATATTGAGTATGTGTTGCAATGTTTAGAGAAAAACAGTGGCATTAACATCACTGGGGTAGTAAAACGCTCTGCCAGCATTCTGATTTTGCTTATGTCCGTTGGTTAAAAGGAAGGCACTATTTGCACTTCCAATTTTCACTATTTTACAATAAAAATGACTCTTGCCTGTTTCACTTTTTAAAAAACAATTGTACCCTTAAATAAGCAGTGATTTTATAGTCCTGTGCCTTCACTGTGCCGGTTGGCTGCAATGGGTGCTCATAAAAAGCTTCTGTATTGATCTGTGTCATCTGGATTGCACTATTCACCACATTGTCGTTATTTCTGGCATGAGTATATTGAATGAAGGACTATAAGGTTTTCAAATACATACTTGTCACATCTGCACTGCCTGTTGGATTACTTTTTTAAATTAAAATAACATGCAATTGAATGACTTTCAGAAATTAACAAGCAGCACTATTATTTCCAAAGCTATACCATGTGTGATATATATAATTGGCTTCCCTATGGAATTAAATTCTTTCACAGACATCTTACAGCAGTTATGCAGGGGAAAAATGTCTACTCTCTCTTTATGATGACAAAGAAAATTTGTATGACAGAGAGCAAGCTTCACCAAAGTGACGGTGTAATCTCATTTTCATTCATATCTGTGGCAGTACTTGTATATGTCTTTAAAATTAGATAGGTTTATTCAAATTAAAACTAGATCTAATACATCTATTAATTTTGTTTAGAAATGAAATGATGTACACTAGTTTGCTCATGTCTATGATCTGCACATTCTCATGGATTCACTAGTCAGTCCAAATGTCATCTAATGGAATTAGAAGAACAGAGTTTCAGAAGACTCTCAGAAAACATTTTTAACGGAGGGAAAATTGGATGACATTTCTGTCTGATATACCTACTAGTGAGTACCAACTAATGACTCCAAATGTACTTCAGCTAGTATATGAAAAGGGGAAATGACAGAATGTCCTATCTTTTATGGATGATATCCATTTATAATTAATTACTTATAACCAGGCGTCCAACCAATTCTATTTGTCTTCCTGACAGGTAACTGTTATGTGACCACTGCCTAGTGTGGCTGGACATTAGCATTTGGTAGCCTGAAAAGAACAAACTGACTGATATTAGAGAAGGTACTATGCTGTGGTTTGGAGCAATTTATTCTCACTTCTATATTTACTGTTGGTGTAACCTCACTTTGAATACTGCATGCATTTCTGGGCCTCACAACATAAAAATGATCTTAAGGTACTTTAAATCCAGAGGAGGGCAGTAAGTCTCATAAAAGGGCTGGTGGGGTATGTCCTGTTAGGAGATGCTGAGGACTCTTGAAATGTCTAGTCTGGAGAAGAGGAACCTGAGAGGCAGTCTCACTGCTCTCTGTAGCACCATGATGAGGGGAGGCAGAAGGAAGTGCTGAGTTCTGACGTTATCACTGATGGCAGGATGCAATGAAAAGTTTATTTGGTCAAACACTGGAACAGGCTTCCTAGAGTGTTTAAGTGTTCAAGAGGCATTTGGACAGTGTCTTCAGTAGTATGCTTTAGCTTCTGGTTAGGTGTGAAGTGGTCAGATAGTTGGATTTGATGATCTTTGCGGTTCCCTTCCAACTCAACTCCTCTTTTCTCCCCTCTCTTTCATTCCTTTCCCTTCTTTTTTCTCCCTTGCTTTTGTGATCGAGGCCAGTGGTACCCTGGGGTGCATTAAAAAGAGCATGATCAGCAGACTGAGAGAGGTTATCTTCCCCTCTACTCTGCCCAGGTTAAACAACATCTGGAGTACTTTGTCCAATTCTGTACTCTTCAGTTCATGGAAGACAAGGAACTTCCAGAGAGAATCAAGCAGAGGGCCACAAAGATGGTTATGGGCCTGGACCCTCTCCCTTATGTAGAAAGAATGAGAGACCTGGGGCTGTTCAGTATGGAGAAGGCTGAGAGGGTATCTTGTCAATGCTTATAAATATCTACAAGGCAGGAGAGAAGTGGATGGGGCCAGACTCTTTTAAGTGGTGCTGAGTGACAGAAGACAAGGAAATGGGTACAAACTGGAATGTAGGAAGTTCCAGACAAACATGAGGAAAAACTCTTTTACTTTGAGGGTGATAAAGCACTGGAAGAGGCTGCCCAGAGAAGTTGTGGAGTCTCCTTCTCTGTAGATATTCGAAACCCACCCTGATGCTTTCCTGTGTCATCTACTGTAGGAAACCTGCTTCAGCAGAGAGGCTGGATTCGATGATCTCCAGAGTTTCCTTCCAACCCCTACAACTCTGTCATTCTGTGATTCTGTGATTCCATTCCAAACATTTCAGACTGGCAAGAAAAACTTTAGAAATAGACAGTGTCTTCAGAGGATACCAAGCTTACATTTAAGCCTGAAGATTTACATAATTTACATGATATTCAGAACTCTGAGCTAAGTCCAAGATACTTAGAATGTGAAAGGCGTGCAATGAAATACATGACATTTAGCACTGCCACTGAAAATTAAAACAGGGAAAAAATCATGTCCTTTATCTTTGTAGCATTTTAGAAGAAAACTGTTCTTACTGACTACTATTACTGAAATCCATTTTTCATTCTTATGAGTGCAGTTCACCCCAATTAACAAGACTGTGCATCAAAACACAAGCATTCATGAATTGCATACACTGCATCAACTGCACTGGTAGGAAGTAGCTGTGGTCTCAGAATCATCCTTGAATAAAACCATTTTTGCATCAGTCAAGATCAAATGAAACAATTTCATTAAAACAAGAAATGAGACAATGTCGTGATTGCCGTCTCAATAATGGCATCGTTTTTGATAGCTTCCTGTCCCAGTATGTGTGATACAGGACATGTAAATATTAAGAAATGGTAGGGTGAGAGTGGAGTAGTTAGATAAGTTGAATTGTTCTTTGTCTCTCTTTTAGCTGTTTGTGATTGTTGAAGACTATCAGTGTTTTAGAGTGTTACTTTTGGAAGAACTATCTTTGAATGCTATGTGTATCATTGGTTTAATGGATGGCTCAATTACTGGTTTAGCTATTTTGCTCTAAATGGTAATTAAAACAATTAAAGAAGAGGGACTGGCAGGCTTCAAGTATCAATCATTGTTCAAAAGCTTTTTCTTCAGTTTTTTTCATGAACAAATATGTCTTTATCTAGAAACAAAACTACTAAAGTTTTGAAATCCCCATTAGTCTATAGTCTTTTGGCACTAAAACTACACTAAATTTCCTTCTTTGAGCTGCACCAAACTTCCCTTTGAGCTCCACCATACTTCCCTTGGACTGCTGTTGTTATTGATTTATTCTTGAAATGTGTTGGGAAGATATCTGCGTTCTTTTTACATGTACTGCCTGTTCTTTACAACAGCATGTCTGCCATTTTATGTTGTGTGTCCACTTGTGCCCAGGTTATGAACAGAGAAACTGTAGCAAGCCTAGGGCATAAAGATGGCCATTATACCAGTATATTGGTATTTAATACCAAACAGCTTCATCACATATACTTGCCCAGTTCAGAATGGGTAGTTCTCCAGCATTAGAGCTTTTGCTGTTAAGGAATGGACAGGTGACTAGCTGACATTTTGGAAAGCGTAGCACTAGAGTCAAAGGACCCCTGCTAAGTCAGTGGTGCAGGATCAAAGTGGAAGGATTGGCATTAATGCAGTAAGCTGCCGATCTCCTATTTCTTTGTAAGGCTTCCAGAAAAAAAAGAAAAAGAGCAATTTGCTCTAGACATTAAAGAGATTTTATGATGTCACAAAAATGGGGTCATATGTATGTATGTATTCAGGGATGAGCTAATACTGCAGATTTCTAATGCAGCAAATCACCATTGCCTCATTTATTTATAGTGAATTTTTGCTATTTTCAGTATATATGAGTTTATAAATATCCTCAAGTCCTTC